CCAAGGCCCAGCCGCCCACTCCCCGCTGGCTCTACCTGCTGGCAGGAGCGGGGAGAACCCAGCCCAGGCATCCTGACTTGCTCCCCCGCTCACACGGCTAGGTGCAGGGGCATTTCCCATGCCGTATCACCATTATCTCTGGTGCTGGGCCAGCAGCCGAGGATGCTGCCCACAGCTAGCCAGGAAGCTGTGGAGCCTGGAAAAGAGGAAGCATGTGCAATGGAGCCATCGTCCGGACCCTCGGAGCTCTGGGGCGGCTGTGTGAGCGAGCGGTGGGGCCGTGCTAAATTGGAGACGTCCCCAGCTGTGACATGACCCCACTTCCCATGCTTCACAGCCATGGGTAAGCACGCAGCCTTCCTTAGCAGGGCAGCGGAGATTCAGGTACGTGGGTCACCTGCCCTATCTTGCTCCAAGCGGGCAAGGCTGCTGGTGCCGGAGAAAAGGGGGTTGCCCAAGGTTTGGGGCCAGGCTCTACTTGCAAGAGGCAGCCAGCTGCTGTCCCCACGTGGGCACCTTTCCCTCGGGCACTGGCAGGTGCCATGTGGGCAGCACAGTCATGCCAGCTGGCTGGGATCGGGAGCACCTTGGCAAGGCTGACTGCGTGGTTGTGGGGCCGGCAGGGGCATGTGGGCTTTATCAGTGTTGTTCAGGCCGTGGGCTCCAGGCAGGAGTGGAGAGCCGGGCCTCGTGCCCTGTCAGAGGAGGTGGTAGCTGGAGGTTGCACCGTATCGCAACACACATGGTGCACGTGGTGCTGCTCAGCTCTGCGCTGTGTGCTGCTGAGTCCAGCCCAGCTGGCCCCCCCCAGGGCTGCTGTACAAAGAGGTCCTGTGTGGTGCCTGGGGCAGGGTGATGGGCACCATCTTCAGCCTTGGGGTGGGCAGGAACCTTTCAGGAGGTCTCACAGGGGTTTGCATAGTGATGGTCTTTGGCCAGAGGCTGGGGGTGGAGCTCAGGCCACTCACCTGGCTGGCTCAAACTGGAGGCAGGGGCAGATCCTGTGATGGCAGTTCCCCGGGGCTTCCCAACTGGGCCGGGGCTCTGGAGGTTGGGTAGCTCCTGTCTGGGTGCCTTCAGGCTTCCAGATCATCCCCTTCCCCTGCCCACCCTTGGGCTCCTCTAGATGGGTGCGTGCAGGCTGGCATGGCCCAGGTCCCAGGTTGCAGAGACTGTGTACCTCTGCCAGCTGCTCCGGAGGGGAGCTGGGTGCCTGAATGGGAAGGCACCAAGCAGGAGGCTGCCAGGAAGGACTGAACTTGAATTATATACGTGTGTGTGTGTGTGTGTGTGTGTGTGTGTGTGTGTGTGCGCGCGCGCGTGTGCATGCATATGTGCACACATAGATGTGCATGCTCGTGTGCGTGTGCATGCATGCATATACACACATAGAAATGCACGCACACCTATATGCATCCTTGTGTGTGTGCGTGTCAAGGGGCCCTGGACCCTGAGTAGCCATTATGGCTAACTTGCCCAGAGTCTAGCACAGGGGACAAGGCTCTGGCCATCCCATCAAGGCCTTTGGGACTTATTTGGCCCATCTGTGGTACCAGCTTCTTGGGGAAAGACCCTGCCCCAGCCTTGCCTTGCAGGTGTCCCCCACATGCCTGCCCCTGCCTCCTGTAGATGACTCCTCCTTGCTTGGACACCTGCTCAGACCTGCTGCAAACTGCACCCCCAGCCCCAGGAGGCGGCACTGGCTGTGGTTAAATCAGGGCTGGATTCTCCAGAGGTAGCAAAGGTTTCTTTTCCTTTGCTTGCTCCAAAGACTCAGTCTGGATTGGGGAAGGGGAGATCTTTCCAGGCCATTCCCCTGCATTCCCTGGCAGCCTGTCCAGCCAGCGGGCACGTTCCCAGCTCTATTAGGAATGAGCCTGCAACGTGCCAAGCTCCTCTCTTTATGGAGATCTTCCCTGCACTTGCTAAGAGATTCGTCCCCATGTCCCAGGATCTGCACTTTGGTGACAATAGCAGCCTTTGTCTGCCACATCCCCCCAGGGACATGAACTCTGGCTGGTCTCTGGGAAGAGACGGAGGCTTTTTTCTGGCTGCAGGGAGAACATCTGGGCTGGCTGGTGCAATCCCCCCGGCTGATGGGAGGCCCCCGAGGTGCCTGGTCCTGGGGGAATCCTTGGCCCCACTTTCCAGGGGAGAGATGCATCCGTCCCTCTCGTCTGCTTTGAAGGTGCAGCCAGTGGCAAGATAATCCCGCGGATCCTGGTTTTTAAATCATGTTCTCAGTGCATTTGTAAGCCCAGCTGAGGCAGAAGCAGAGCGGGGCTGGAGGGAGGCAGCCCCACAGGTCCCCTCTCGGGGCATTGTGTGGGATCGCACCAGCCCAGCAGCGTAAAGCAAGCTGCCTTGGCAGTGGAGTTGGAGGCGAAGGGCTGGTCCTGGGCTGCTGTGCCTCCATGACGGTATACAGGCCATCTCCTATGAACTCTGCTCCCTAGGGCATAGTTGCAAGGTGGGGGTGCTATCATTACAGCTGCTCCTAGGGACACGGGCCGTTCTCCCCAGACTCCCAGCCGGGGCTTGGAGCAGCTCTGCAGAGTGGCTGCCCCCCGACGGTCCATCCCAGGCTGCTCCCCGTGCTGCTGGACCGGGCGGTTGGAAACTGCTGCACTGCCCAGCCAGGGCTCCAGGCCGTGCCGGGGGTGTGCTGCAGGGATCCCAGACACAAGGACAGGGCTTGCCAGGTGAGGACACTCCAACACTTCTCACATATTGTGGGGTGGGCTGGGGTATCTCCTACTGGGCTGGGTCCTTCCCCTCCCCTGCCCCACTCACCCACCGCTCCATTTGTGCATGGCGCAGCCACATTACCCCACCTGCTTTGGAGGGCAAGGGCGTCCTGTTCAGCAACGTGCCCTGGTAAGGGTGTGGGGAGGTGGATGGCCCCAAATCTCTCTCCCCCGAGGCAGGCAGTTCAGCTGCCTGAGTTTACAAAGGGCCGAGGAAGGAGCAGTGGGGTGCAAAGGGCACGTGTCTGGCTTTACAGGTTTCCTGCTGGAATGGCCTCCTCCTGACCGGCTTGGGTCTCCAGGGTCTCCCAGCGCGCTGGCGAGGCTGGGGCCCCAGTGTCCCGAGGTCAAGGCAGTCCGAGCGCTGCATCCTTTGGGGTAGGGGAGCTGGGGCTGAGTCAGAGGTCAAAGCTCCAGCTGACACCATGGAAAATGCCAGAGCAGGAAGAGTTACTCATGTGCCTCCTGGCCCCCTGTGCTCCCAGCGTCCTGCCAGCAGTGACACAAAGGCAGGAAGAGGGTGAAAGGGGATCGAAATACCTGAGCGATGCTTCATCATCACCCACCCCTCCACCCCGGGCACTGAGTGCAGCCTCCAGCCCCCACAAGGGACCCTCTGCAAACACCAGGGGATGCTGCCCAGGCTGGGGCAGAGCCGGGACGGGGGTCCCCAAAGAGCTGTGGGGGCTGTGGGCAGTGGGGAGAGCTGTTAGTGGCAGTGGTAGCTTTGGGACAAAGCTGCTAATGCCATGGGATCGGCACTTGGACTCGGCTGTGGGATCCTTCCCACAGCATAAC